GCTATTTCTTCCCTTTTTTAAATAAGGTTGGCTAGGGGCTTATCGATTTTATTTTTCTTTCAAAGAACCAACTTTTTGAATCGTTGATTCTTTGGATTGTTTTCTTAGTCTCTATTGCGTTGATTTCTGCTCTGATTTTTATAATTTCCTCTCTTCTTTTGGCTTTGGGCTTGACTTGTCCTTCTTTTTCTAGGTGTTTGATGTGTAGCATCATGTTGTTTATTTGTATTTGTTCTGTTTTCCTGATGTGGGAACTCAGTGCAATAAGTGCAATAAATTTTCCTCTGAGGATGGCTTTCATTGCATCCCATAGATTCTGGTAAGTTGTATTTGTATTTTCATTTGTTTGTAGGTATTGTTTAATTTCTTTTTTAATTACCTCTGTGACCCACTGATTACTCAAGAGTGTGTTATTCAGTTTCCATGTGTTTGTCATTACCGTTTTTAAAATCTGGTTTATCTTTTCTACTTTTCCTGAACTTTGAGGCCGGTGACACAATGGAGTTTCCAATCAATCTGAAAAGTTTGGGCCAGTTTTTTAGTTATCTGAGCTATAAAAGCCGGGCCATTGTCAGACCCCATGGATAAGGGGAGGCCAAATCGAGGGATGATCTCATACAAGTCTTTTAACTCTCAGGGCTGATTTAGACTTAGTAGAAAAAGCTTCAAGTCATCCAGTGTAAGTATCAACCATTACTAGTAAGTACATATAACCTTGAAGTCCAGATTTTCCCATCTCTGTAAAGTCTATTTAGCAGTGTTCTCCAGGCATGAGGCCATGGTAGCGAGTGACTTTGTATTTGTTGCTGTCACTTTGGGTTCACCAGTTGACATTGGGGGCATCTGAGGCTCATAGACTGGGTAAGCTTTGATAACTGGGGAACAAAGAAACAATCTCAAAAGAGGGCAGCAAGCTTTGATCCTCCCTGGTGAGTGGACCAATGGGCTTGTTGAATGAGTTCACATCCCAACACCTCGGGGAAGAGGACTCGCTTTTCAGGCAGTTGGTACCAGCCTCCAGAGATATTAGACTTTGCTTGAAGTTGAGCTGCCAGACGCAAGTCCTTTCCAGTGTAAATGGGCTCTGACAGAGCAGGTGGGATCAGCTTAATGTCGGAGCCACCTCAGTCCCCACTGATTTTATGGCTTCCTTTTGGGCAGTGGCATCTCCCAGATTGTTTCCTTGTATAAGAATCATCTCCCACTTGATGGGCCTTACAGTTGATGACAGCCACTTTCCTTAGCATCCAAATGGCAGCCAACAAATCTAAAATTTGGGGAGCATTTTTGATCTTTTGGCCCCCAGAAGTCAGTAGTCTCCATTCTTGATAAATGACCCCATGAACATGGGCAGTAGCAAATGCATATCTGCTATCAGTATAAATGTTTGTCTTTACCGTCTGACAACTTGAGGGCTGCAGTGAGGGCAATGAGTTCAGCCCACTGAGCTGATGTTTCTGGCTCCAAGACTTGTTTCTATGGAATCTGAGTCTCTAGTAACGGCAGCTCCCGCAACCTGCTTACCTTGATAAATGTAATTGCTCCCATCCGAGAAGTATGATGGAATTCCAGATAGGGGCTCATCCGTCAAGTCCAGTCGGAGCCCCGTGAGGTGGTCAGTAACCTCAATGCAGTCGTGGAGAGGCAAGGAAGGGTCATCGTCAGGCAGCAGAGTAGCAGGATTTAAAGCTGCTGTTTCTTTGAAACTGATGGTAGTCAGATCCAGAAGTAATACCTGATAGTGCATGACTCAGGAGTTGGATAGCCACTGGTCTGGTGGAGTCTTGATGAGGGTCTCCAGCGAATGAGAGGAGATAATTAAGAGTTTTTGTCCAAAAGTCAACTTTTGAGCCTCCTTTACCAGGAGGGTCACTGAAGCAATCACCTGTAGACAAGGTGGCCATCCATCTGCCATGTTATCAAGCCTCTTGGAAAGATAGGCAACAGGCCTCTACCATGGTCCCAAACTCTGGGTCAGTACTCCTTTTGCTATCCCTCACCTCTCATCGATGTAGAGGGAAAAAGGTTTTTGCAGGTCTGGCAAGGCCAAGGCAGGAGCCTCGGTTTAGGCCAGTTTCAGCTGTTTAAAAGGCTGGTCTTGAGAATCTGTCACTCTAGAGGGTCCTGAGTGGCTCCCCTTAATGAGTCATAAACAGGCTGAGCTATCTCAGCAAAATTAATAATCTGAAGCCTACAGTATCCCATGGCTCCTAGAAATTTTCACACCTGCTTTTTAGTCATAGGGACTGGAATCTGTTGGATGGCTTGTACCCACTGGGAGGAAAGAGTCCACTTTCCTTTATGGACTTGGTAACCTAAGTAGGTCACATTTTTTTGGCATAGTTGGGCCTTTTTAGCAGAGACCTTATAGCCCAGCTCATCTAAGGCTCACAGAAAAGTTTGGGACAGTCCTTTCGCCAGTGCCCCTTCTCTTTGCAATAAGCACATTGATTTTTATCTAGGGGCAGGCGAGACTTTGTATCCGACTTGTAACTTTCTCAGTCAGAACCTGTAATACTCTTGTCAGCTTTTGATCTTTCGAATCTTCATGGTTGAATACCTTCTGAGCAATCTCTAATAACTGACTAAGGGGTATCCCTTCAAATCCCTCAGGCTTCTGCAATTTTCACTTAATATCGGGCTGACTGGGTTACACAGGCAATATTAATGGCCCTTGCATCTTTACGTGCTATCAGATCTATGGTTGTATTAATGCAGTAGGCCTCTTGCAGTCTTTCCAGAAACCCCAAGGGAGATTCATTAGCCAATTGTCTTAACCTCTGAAACTTTGGACAAATTGGTCGGTTTTCTGGCGGCACCCTTAAGGGCTTCTAAAAACAACTGGCAGTACTGCTCCAGAGCCTCCTTACCTCCAGTCCTGTTAGGATTCCAGTCAGGACAGGAGAAAGAGAAAACATGGTTCAGGCGTTTGGGATTGGAGGACGGATTTCTATCTGGATTGTGCAGCTTTCTCTCCCAAGGTACAAATGTACTCCCTCTCCTCCACAGTAAACAGTACCTGTAACAGTTACTGACAGTCATCGCAAGTGGGGCAATGAGTGAAAAAGATAGATGCCAGGAGAGAAATGAGGCCTGGGGGAGCCTTAGAAAAAGGTGGATTAGGGACATAAGTCCATGACTCTACTCCTGAGACACAGGTGTCATATATATGGATATTGCCAGCAGGGCCAATATGGCAATCAAAAGATTTTTTAAGGATTGGTGGAATTCCCCTTTTGGTGACTGTATCTCTAGCCTCATGGATTGTGGCTTGAATATCATTTCACTGGACCACTTGTCTTTTCTCCTGGTCTCTTGGGGGAGCTGGAAACTGATTTTCTGGCCGATTGGCAGGTCTCCCTTTGCCCAGGTTGGTAGAGCCATCACTTAAGGCTGTCCTCAGCATTGGTTGTGTCTCCCACCAATGCTGTGTATATCTTGTGGATCTTTCACCTGTCAAGACACAAGCATAACCTCGCTTCTACATTATTATTCACAGAAGATCTGAAGTCTCCCAGGATGCATCCCCAGGCATGGTCTTTAAAATCTCCAAAATGATTAAGGACCAGGGATAAAGGAGATAAAGACACTAATGATGATACCTGGCCCATAGTTATTAATAACTGGTTAAAGATAACAAAACACAACACAAGGCACCACAAAAGACAAAGTAAACACTGAACACACACACACAGGTTTTCTGTCCACAGTCCGGTGACCTAAAGGGAAACAATTTTCATTGTAACCTTTGAGTCCAGTAAGCCACATGGAGCCTGTAACAGACAAGTTCAAATGAGTAATGAGCCCCTAAATTAGTAACAAAGACAAATTCAAATGGGCAAAAAGCCCCCAAATTACAGACGGGCAAAAATCCTCTGGAGGGCGTCCCGCTCCAGTGCAGAAGGAGCACTGGGCTCATCTGCTACAAATGTGCGCACCCAAATGGGCAAAAAGCCCCAAATTAAATGGAATACTTACAGATGTTAAACCAATTGGTGAATAATTTGGGGAGGGGTCCTCGAGATATCCCAGACAAGCCCCCAAATGTTGTACCCCAAAAATGAGGCCCCAAGATGTTCAAAAAATGGGGCAAGATGCCTTTTAAAAAAAGCACTTTATTTTAGCTGATACCCAGTGACACAACCTGCGTTAGAATCTGCAGAGCTGTGTAACCAGGTTAAGTTTCAGGGTGTTTTTAAGAGGAAACACTGCAAAGAAGAGAAAAGAGGAGGGAGCTTATACAAAAAGGGAATTAATCTCTGCAAAATGTTTTACAACCAGGGCCAGTTGGTCCCGGGATGAGTGTTTTATAATTAGTGATCAGCAAATGTTTTACAATCAAGGGTCAGTTGGTTCAGGAACCAAATTGCTGTTCTGGAAGGGGATAATTCACAAGAAACGAGTTGAAACACAGGTCAGGGTAATGATGCTTACAGAATAGGATAGCAGTGCCTTAGCCAGGTTACAAAAGGTCACAGCCTATGTTTCTCCAGACCATTTAGTTGGGTAAGTGGGGTGGGGAGAAGGGAATGTTGACTCTCTTTTGTCTCTCAGCCTGCACCCCAAAGGTTTAGGGTTAGCATCTAGTTCTTCATGAATGGTGGCCCATGAATGGCACCAACTCACAGGAAAGGGCTCAATAAATAGTTACTGTATTGGGCAAAAGACTGAGGACTTTGAGGATCTTCATTTATGTAGGTTTATGGTATATACGTAATAATTTTTAATGAGAAAATTTGGAAATTCAGAAATACGAAGCCTAGGTTATTTGCAAAGTTAAGCATAAGCAAGCACAACAAACTTGTTTTCAAAGAGGTATTGAGTACCACATGGTACGTTAATCCTAGATGGAACAGCCACATTTTCCTGTCCTTCACTTTTTAGTGTTATGTATCAACTAAAAGGCTCAGTGGCTGTTTTCTAGATTATGGAAAGGTAATGCTTCATTATTGTACATATTTTATAGGTAGTTAAGAATTTTTTCCTCTTTTCTTTTGCAGATTAATGACTCCGGAGAGTGAGATCAGATTTGTCCACAAGGAGATGGGAATAATCCCAAGCTGGGGTGGTGCCAGCCGGCTGGTTGAAATCATAGGCAGTCGAGCAGCTCTCAAAGTGTTAGGTGGGGCCCTCAAACTGGATCCCACAAAAGCTTTAAGCATCGGAATGGCTGATGAGATCTTGCAGTCTTCAGATGAAACAAAATCTGTAGAAGAGGCCCAAGCATGGCTCGCACAGTTTGTCAATGGGCCACCAGAAGTCATTAGAGCTTTGAAAAAATCTGTTTGTTCAGGCAAGGAACTATATTTAGAGGACGCATTACAGAATGAAAGAGATCTTTTAGGAACAGTATGGGGTGGAGCTGCTAATTTACAGGCTATTGCTAGAAAAGGAAAATTTAATAAATAACATCTAAAAATGTGGGTTTACTACAAGTTCCAATTAATAATATATACTGAAGTTAAATGAAAATATGAACAGCAGAATTAATCTGAAAGTACTATTAGTATTCAGATTTGTTTTGGGTTAGGGTTAGGATTAGCTAAAGTCATTAGCCAACATTTTCTTAATATTTGGGCAACACGTTTTGTGTAAGTTATTCCTATCACTTCTTTTATGGCAATAATGGTTCTTAGCTATGAACAAAGGATGCCTGTTTTGCTTTTTGGGTTTTTTTTTTTTTTTTTTTTTACATATAAGTGTGCTTATCACCGTGTCTGCCACCAACAAAGATTAGTTTCTAAAAGGAAAAGGTTCTATTGACAGAAAATCAATTTTTTTATTTCTCACCCATAATATTTTCACTCTGTAATAATTTACAAAACAATCTAATAAACTTTTCAGTTAAAGAACATGGGGCAAGATCATAGGACAAGAAAAGATATGATTAGTCATTTTCTTCTGTACCAAATGAGGAAAAAAGAAAAGCTGCATCCCGTTATCCCTTTCAAGTCTGGAGCCTTGATCTTTTCAATAACTAGGGAACATCAGCTGAACGTACGGGCTGCCATTCACTGTCCTGGGAAATACCAAGCTGGAAACAGAGCTGTTGATAGTTTTAAAACAGAAAGTCTTGATTCATGAAACAAGCATTCTACAACAAAAGTTACCACTTTACGACAGGTTTCTATTTTTCTGAAAAACCTCAACTTTTATAAGTAATTTTATAATCAATTTACTAAAAATGTGTAATTCATATTTTTATGATCATTCCAGTAATTCTGCATACAGTACATGGAATAAATATGGAAATGAACTTGGACAGCCTATAAGTCTTATGTTGATCAAGTAGTTGATACTGTAGTTTTTTCTTTCCAGTGTTCATGAGTGGCCTTACACTCTGGGTAAAAGCAGATTTACTTAAGAGTTCATAGACATGAATTCACTTTACACATACTCCTGTAGATGAAAAAACTCACTTTTATTAAGATGTTTTTATATCTGGGTAAGGAAGGAAGTATTGGGTTAACATGGTAATCTAGAATTTGTGAAAGACAGTCTGTTCTTAAAGCAGAATGATGTTGATAAAAGCAAATCCAAGCTATTTTTACTCTGATTTTGAAATGAAATAAAATGAATGCTACAGTAGCAGTTGTTACACAGTTAAGCCAATGCCAGATGAAAAATCAAAAAGCCTAAGTCCTAGTCTTCCTTATTAATGACATTCTTGAAATCACACAAGTAAGCCTTTAATCTAAATTTCCTTCCCTGTTCCCTGTAAGAATTTATGAAACTCTAGAAAGAATGAGAAAAAATAGCTCACAAAAAAATTCTGCAATCATTAAAGCTCCATAAAAGCTACATTCATACAAAACCAATATGAATACAATGTCGATCAGGAAAGGCAAGGTTTGTCACACTAGTTGTACTGAACGTACATCAAATTTGGACATCTGTCATCAATTCAGATAAACATTTAGCATACACCAAAGTCCACATACAGTGCAGAGTACAGACACACACCTAGTCTGTTAAATAAGGAAACACACATGAAAGCATACAGTCAAAATACTCCATACTCGAGAGGTGTTCAAATACTCAGTACAAGGAGAGACACATGAATGGACATAGGTTTGATAAAGTTTAGGGTGCAAGAAGTGCTGTGTAGAGAAGATTCTAGACCGAGACAGAAGGGTTTGATTAGAAGGTAGTATGAGTAACTTAGAAACATGATTACAATAAAACATCATCAACTCCTCTAAAAATACTCCCCACTTCAAGCAGACATTTCTCCTTGTTCTTGCCACATTTTATGCAGTTTTGTGAGTTCTCTTTAATAAGTGCTTTTTTAATGAGATGTAACCAAAAAGTACAGCAAATGCTTCTGTTGCATTCCATCCAACAACAAAAAAGACGGCTTCACAACACATCATCTGCCTCATTCCCTGGATCTGGGGCTTTGCAGCTCCTGGCACTTCCTTAGTCAAAATGATGATGAAAGGTAAACATCTGCACCGACTCGGGACACGGAGGCAGCCACGACAACACTAAAACAACAGAGGACTTCCAGAACTGCTTCAAAAAGTGGCAAGAATTACGTGGTGTGTTTAAAGTGGAGTATTTAGAGGCAGGTTGATCGGTATGTGTTTTTACTGTGAACTATTCTAGCTTAAACGTTCATTGTATCACTTCATATGCAAGGAACTGAGTCACAAAAGCAATGGAATCAGAAAAGGTAATCACAAAGATAATCATAAATCACACAAGCCTTATTGTGCCCGCCCTAAAGAAACATGACTTGATTTTTATTTCGCAGTAATGGGAAACCACAGACACTATGAAAAGGGGAAAATGACAGGAGCAGAACAGTGGTAAACAGTATGGTAAAAATCTCAAAAGATCTGCACTCTGTTGTTTAACATGAATGACAATGTCTGTACTAATTAATTCTTCCATTTTAAACACAGAACATCTAGAATCTAATTGCTGTAAGACCTTTACATTTGGTGCAAGAACAAGCCTTAAAAAGTAACTCTAGAGTTCAAAAATGAGATAGTCAATAAAAATGTTTATGCTAATCAGAAACTGAAAAACACTATTCTTAGGCTTTCATCATGGCATATCCAATCTTACAACAATCTCACACTTTTACTATGTTTGTGTCCTTGGCTCCTCAATAAAGAAAAGTTTAAAATGGTAAGGTTTTAAAGTTTTCAATTACCTGACGTCAGGCCCAGGCACCCCCTGAAGAGCCACGGCCACCAGGGAGCATTGGTGAGCCACCACCCCACACCCTGTCACAAGCCTGGGAACCTCCCATCAGGGGAACCCAGGTGTCCAGGCCAATTCCCTGCTGGACAGGCAGACAGTGCAGGGAGCGCCCAGGACTTGGCAACCAGCTGATTCGGATGAAGACAGGAAAACATCAAGACAAAGAATCAGTGTGCTATGTCAGATCCCACGCGGTCACAGACATAACATAAATTAAAATCACATGCCTAGCATTTCTGAAATGATGGCAACTGAAGTAAAGAAACAACTTAGTGCGCATACTGTTTGACTACCTACCTATGCGTGCCTGTGTCTGGTGGGCTGAGCAACTGTTTAGTGGACAGTGATGTGCAATATAGTAACTACTACTGATTTCCTATTGTCTTGTTTTTGAAATTCAACTCCTCGCTTATTGTTTTGCTTCATTTTATTGTTTTGTTTTATTCTCTTTAAGAGAAAAGCATTTCAATTAAATGAAAAAGGACACAATGATTCAACAGAAACAGTTTAAGCAGTTTAGATCACAGAAAAAATTTAATTTCCAAATTGTTTTGCAATCCTTAATCGAAGTGCCAATCAGCATATTTAGTAGCACCTCTATGCTATAAAAATTAGCCAAGTATCTTTTCCTAAACCATGGAAAGTTCTAGATCAAGAAATACATCTTTTTAATATGAGAAAGGCACTATTGAAGCTTCAAAGTATTTTTTCTTGCCTTTACAAACCTTTTAAAGTAACATGAGGTACAAGTGAGAACATCTGCTTTTCACTAGTCAACAACTCTGGATCCTGTCCTTCTCACCCTGAAACAAAGGATTATGTGAAATTCTCAAAATGCTCTTTCAGACTGATATGTATTTAAATGATGAAGAAAAAAAAACAAATTAACTATAGGTAATAACTGAGAATAGAAAAATGGGCTGATGTTCACTACTACTTTGGAAAAAACAATAGCAGTGTCATACAGTCTACATCTCAAATTAGGGACCTTACAAGCAAAAGACAAATTAAAAATCTGATCAATTTAAAATTAAAAAAATAGTCCAGTAAAATGTAAAGTATCCAATATATGACTTTGAGGAATGTTATACTTTTAAATACAGAATTCTAACTACTTCCTGTTGTGCTTAAGTAAAATTCATACAAAACATCAGTTTTCCACCTGATGCAGCTATAAAAAGTTTCAACCAAAACCACTACTTTCTACGCTGCTTAATATGATCAATATTTTGTTTTAATTCTTACTCTTGCATTCATGAATAAAGCTAAGCATGTCATGTTAAAATGTAAAAAGCAACTATGACTATGTCAGGGAAGCTATATACTGTAAAAATAATACACTTGGAAAGGCAAAATGATTCTGTTTGAGCCATTATTCTGGTTCCCTCCTCACAATAAATAAGTTGGATAAATTTCATCAGAAAATAAACAAGCTACATTATTTCCTATGAAGCACTCTCAACTACCCATATGCCAGAGCAGATTACCAGTTCAGAGCCCCTAAAATCCACCAAGTATTGTGTCAGTCTATCATGCACTAAGAGATGAGAAAAAATGTTTAGTAACAGTTCTTGTAATTATACATGAAGCAAGTACAGAAGGTAAGTACAGAGATTGTGTATAACACGATAAAGATGTACGTTAATCCACTAACCCACATGCAAGACCTTCTTCAAAGCTGTTTTTATTACCTTTTCAGTTGACCCTACACAGTCCTGAAGTCATTTTTCAATGACCTTAAAAAAGGTAAAAAGTCAAATGTATGCAGAGGGATGAGACCAATATGTAAATAACTGCATCTTCATACTGCTTTTCATAAGAGTTAAGAATTTCAAAGAATTAATGCTAATCCAAAAAGTGGTTATTACTCTAATAGAGGTTTTAAGAAACTCCAGAAATTATTCTGGAAACAAAAGGCATTTATTTTTACATTACTGACTTCAGAACAATTTAAAACAAAATTAGAAACATACTTAAGTTAATCCAACTCTGGTAAGGGACAGGATTAAATATAGCAATCACTTTAAACACTTTTACTACATTTTTCATGTGACATAACTTTGCGGCACAGTATCATATTTATTCCCATATAGCTTACACTCCCATAAGATAAATATGTGTCTGGAATACTTGGACATCTCCTCGCCCATGAGGAATATAGACATAGTTAAGGAAAACCTTCAATGATTCAGATTTTGTTGAACCTTCTTAAAAGACCTCTAGTTAAAGGTAAAATTACTATAAATACAAAAAGTCTTCAACTGCGTATATAGTACTGAAAAACTTTTTAGCCAGCAGTCAAAGTTTTAAAATCTGGTTAAGAATCAAGAGTTTTATACATACTTTCCTGAATAACACACTACCCTTCCAACTGACTTCACGTCCATCTTCCTTTGACTCTTCCTCAGTTTCATCATGCATAATTTTTAGTCCTCTTTCAATCTTCAATACTTTCTGCCGCATATATAACCTAATCCAAATTCCTAAGCAACAGTTTCCAATACCATTGACACAGCCTTTATAATAAAGCAGACTCATTTCCAATAATGGCTCTGACTTGCTCTTATCATGCTCACCTGGTCATCATGTCCCAAACGTTCCTAAAGGTAGGAATTAGCTATTCTGAATTTTCCTGGACATTTATACCCAGGAGTGTGGTTCAGATCTAAGAAGCTGTTTTAAGTCAGTCCCCCAAGGGATTCCTCTCAGAGAATTCCAGTGAATGCGGACCTAGGCAAGTGACTTATCCCTGTTTCTCCCTCAGTAAGTGAGACATTCCTGTGATATGCAGGGATGAAATTAGTAACTTGTGGAAAATGTCCAGTAATCACCTGGCAGTGCAGCAGGTGCTGAATAAATGCTCGTTCACCTTATGACACAGTCAACAGTTTTCAAACACAGTTATTCCCTCACCTCATTAAAGCATGCTTTCCTAATGTTGTCTAGTTGTTAAAATTCTATCATTCTTTAAGGCTAAATTTTTCATTCCCTCTTTACCATTCAAACAGAACTAATTTCTACTCTCTCTCAGTTTCAGTAGCATTT